TTTCAATGTGAAATCTCAAGTTCTTCCACATTTAGAATTGTTCATTTTCTATGCTTTCCCTATGTAGAAAGCATAAAAATTGGTTTATATCATTTTATTTTTCTTGAGAAAATACACACATAAATTTTGGCACAATTACACAAAGGTTATTTGATATTTCTAATTACCTTTTGCATGAAAGATTAAAAAATAAAACAATGAGTTAAAATAGATTTCACAATACTAGACAAAATAATATAAATGATAACATCACACATTTTCTGATCACATTAAATTAAACATTACAAATTTAACTACCTTTGACACAACAGACATCAAAACTCTACCATTTTTGCAGTATTCACCTTTTGTTAAGCTATTTCTTGCATATAGTCTTGATTTACCTGTGATTTCTAATGGCTAGACTGGTGATAAATTTTCTTTTGCAAAGCTCACATAACCATCTGTAAATGTGGATAACTCTAGAATGCTATATGATAGTTATAATTAATTAAGAAAGTAATTTGTAAAAGAGAAGTTAATATATATCTATGCAATGTGATTAAGCTCTTTTAATAAAACATGTGCAATTATCTGCAATAACTAAATTGTAAGAGGCCAGAAGGCTGCCATCTACTCAATGGACAAACATGCATGAGCTTGATTTAGTGAAGTTAGCATGAAAAAAATAGACTGGTTAAGTACAGTTAAAGCATAAGGTATGGGAGTAGAGAAATAAAAATGGATGGTTATAGTAAATTAGGCTTAAAATTAATTTATATTTTCCAGGAACTTGAACTATAAAGCCAATGAGATAGTCACTAGTATCATATGTACAGGAGTGAATTGATCCTGTTGTTTTGATAGCACAGTGTTTTATTCAGGACTCACCAGAGAGACAGAAAAAGTAGGAGGGGGGAGTTATTAGGAGAATTGACTCATTTCATTCTAGAGTCCGAGAAGTCCCATGGTAAGCTGTCTACAAGCTGGAGAAAAAGGGGGGTTGATAGTATGCATCGGTTCAAGTCCATAGGTTCCAGAATTAAGGAAATTAATGGTGTAACTCTCAGTCTGAGACTGAAGGCCCTAGAGTTCTCCAGGGGCAAGTGAGGTTGGAAGCTAGTATGAGTCCATGAATCCAGGAATCAAACGCTGGAGAACCTGGAGTTCTGACGCCCAAGGGCAAGAGAAGAAGGGACTGGCCCTAGAAAAGAAAGAAGAAATTGCCTCTTCTTCCACCTTTTTGTTCCATCTGCACCTCAAGCTGATTGAATCGTACCCACCCACACATGGATAAATCTTTCCCACTCAGTTCACTGAGTCACATGCCAATATTCTCTGGAAACAGCACACCTGGCCCAGCTCAAACATTCTAATCAAATGCCAGACCACAGGGGTTTCTCTTTCAACAGAAGAGGAATGAGCTCAGAGCCTACTGAAGCATTGAAAATAATTAATGCAATGACTGAGAATGCATATGCCCCATCTGCTATCTGGGCATACCTTAGTTTACTCAAGTGGGCATCCAAAATCAATGATCACAGCAGATAACTGAAGGCAATGTGGTTAATGGACGGGAGGGAAAACATTAGCCAGAAATGTCAGCTAGAAGGCAACTGCACTAATCCTATAAGATTAAACAGTCATGATACTGATACAAAGAAAAAGGAGTGGATTGGTAAGACATTTCAGAGAAAAAAAAAATCCCTACATTTTTCAGAGCTACTGGATGTAGGAAACAAAGCAAGAAAGCATGAGGAACAAAGGATAATTTGAACCTCTGCCCAGGGGATGACAGAGAAAAATACTAGTTTCTGTTTACATGGCATGCCACAGTTTATAAACTCCTCCACACATGCTCCATTCCATTGTTTCAACAGCCTTGTGATAAAGTAATATGTATTAAATAACAGGGTTATACAGAGCCATCTACAAATGCTTGACTACTGGTAAATAACTTCTCTGCAAGGTGCTTTATGCAAGTCCTTTTCCAAGTCATCTTTTTTTCTTTTATAAACAGAAGTTAACTTGTGTTCTCTTCAGATCTATCATGTGTGCCTATACTGTCCTTAATTCTCTGCAGGTTGCTAGAGAGATGGACTTTTATTGCAGTTTATTTAATGGGCAGGTGTGTAGTGGATTGTGTATCTGTTTCTGAAAACAAAGTGATCGGTATGGCATGTCTCAAAATTTCGTGTGCATATGAATCATCTGGGTATCTGATGAAATGATGATTCTGATTCAGTGGCTCTTGGAGGGCTCCTGAAATTCTGAATTTCTAACAAGCTCTCAGGTGCTGCCATTGGTAGTTCATAAGACAGATTTTGATTAATCCCACAAACACTCCCAAAGTACCTTTGTTGAAGCAGGTATGCCATTCTGGGACACTTACAACGTACGTGATTTAAATTTTAAAATAAAAACCATTTTCTCACAAGTTTCAAGGTGCTGCCAACTGTATACGTATTTATTTTCAGTAGTATGACTGCATTCCATTTCTGTCTCTGTTGGCAAGCAGGCCCCTAAAGGTTTCAAAACATGTCAATGGTCTTTCTCAAGAAGAGATCTCATAAAGAACTACCTCATTGTTGGTTGTTCATTAATAGTTCTCTTACTGACAAGTTGGATGCATGCCTCTTAATTTTGCAAGTATTTTAAAATTAAAATGACTTCCAATGTATTTCAAATACTTCTTCTGGCAATAACATCTGCCTGGAAGCAGACATCCCAGATCTCCTCCCACAGGTCTTTTCTTTTATGATTCTGTAGCCTTGTGGGTTTCCTTAATAGTCCGAAATTCCACAATATAATCCATGTGTGCTGAAAGACATCTGAAATCATTGACATGCCTCAGGGTCTCAGGATTAAGCAACTACCAGCTCTGGATTTTTGTAATTGGACTCAGTGAGCTGGTCTTCTGTTTAGCTCCATCTCTGAAATTTCTTCTGTTCTCTTTTTGCCTTCTCCCTCCCTCCCTCCCTGTTTCTTTGAGGAAATCCATTTATGGTCAGAACAAGTTTCTCAAGGATCATATTTTTATCCCTATGGAAATCCCCCTTGTCAAACTCTAGGAGGTGAACAATGTCTCTTTGTATACATGACAAAGGGATTAATCTTGAATGCAGTAGCTGATTTTTATAAGATTCTAAGAAATAACTGAGCCACTCTGGACAAAGGAAAGCTGCTATGTGCTGTTCCAGCATTAGAAGTCCTTTAGCACCCTAAATGCCGAGTGGCTAAAATAAACATGTAGAAGTATAGAATAATCTGTGTTAGTACTAATTTTTCCAAAAGTCCAAAGTACTCAGACTGGAGATATACAATTTAACCTGCTACTCCATTCAGGAATCCTTAATGTAACATCCGTGAGAGTCCTTCAAGGTGCCAGGAGTACTTTCCAAAAGGGTGAGACATTCGTTGGACAGCTCCAGTTAAAAATCTGCAGCTGTGACCAACCCTGTGCTTTCCTTAAGGTGCCCTGATGTTTCACTCTATACCTACTCACTTGCTATACGTATATGACATGTTCTTGCCTTTTCAAGTTTACAGTGTCAGTTAATACCTTGTTTAATGTTCTTACTATTGCAACTTAAACTCCCCCCAAATGATTTCACTTTAGTTAGGAGCTTAATACTCATCAAAAATACAGCCTATTTTTGCTACTTAAGTCTGTGTCTCATCACTGTATCTTAAATGTCAGTGGCATTTCTGGTTTCAAACATCCTACTGCCTCTTAGGAAATTTGATGAAGTCTGTCTCACCATAAAGCATCCACCTTTCCCCACCACTGTTGGATGCACCAATGAAGAGTTAAACAGCATGCAGTGGGCCACACATACTGCTGGTGATCCAACTGGGAATATATCCTAGGAAACTTGACTCCCAGTCTGGTGTGCCACATGACCATAATTTCTGATGCATCTAAATTCCCATACTATTTCTTCTGTTGGAACATGCATGAGACAATCCCATTAGCAAACTGGACAAGTCAGTATATGTTAAGTAAGTTTCTAAACTGAACAGTGTGTGTTTTCCAGGATTCCTGTTGCTACTGACTATACATGGCCCAGATTTTGTTAATGAGATCACGATGCATGGCTATTTTGAGGGTCCCTCCACTACAACTTGTTCTAATATTCACATTCTTGGCTTTTGCTTTGCCTAACAGAGATTTGCTCCAATGGCACCCTCCTAACAAGGCACTTCTGATTGTTGGCAGCTGCTGTTGCTGTTAAATTTTTCATGGCCTCTGTGCCGTGCCCTCCAATATGCTTTCTGAGAGGCTGAGCTATTCTCTGCTTAATATCTAAACTGTAAGCTTCTAAACCTGAAACAGATGTTATCTTGGCTGCTGTCATTTGCCATGAGCTTCTATATTCAGATTTTACAAAAGGCAGGTAAAAAAAGCAGATAATTTGCTGAACTCACGCTGTAGAGAAAGAAAAAGAGGAGGGAAGGTGAAATGAGAGAGAATAATATATAAATTAGTGGAATAAAGCCACATGAAGAGAGTACAACCAGTCAAGCATCTATTATCTTAATATCATATGCTATAGTTTGATGACTACTGATTTGCCAGGCATCTCTCTTCAATCATATTTGTGGCCACCCAGATTAACTTTGTGAGCTGATCTCTTGATTTAATATCAGCTTGCTCTTTTCAGCTCCCATGTCATTTACTGTCTTTAAAAAAAGTACTGCTTGTTACTCAGCCATCTGTGTTTTCAAGAACCCACAGTGTTTTTTTTTTCTTCTTTTTGTATGGGAACCAGGAACTAGAAAGCATTAAATGAGAAAAAATGAACCACTCAGAAAAGGTGAAAGCCCAGAGAAAAAGGGGTTTGTCTTTTATGGTTTGTACTTTGTAAGCTGTGGGTGTGACTCAATTTCCTCACCACCCACATAAAAAGGTTGCCACCCAATCACTGTTTTTTTTTTTTTTTTCTATCCTAAACCCCTCCCCTTTGATTTTGGCTAAGAGAGACCCTTAGAAAGACTGCCCTTTCTGGACGTTGCAAACTGTGACATATAAAAGCTGTCAGCTGCTCCTGTAGCCAGCAGCATTCAAACCTTGCAGACTTTTGCTCTCTGAGAGTTTGTAATAAGACACACTTCTCTTACAAGGGTTCATGCTACAACATAGCAAAGAACTTTAAATTTTTGGAAGAACAGTATATTCAGTTTGGCATTTTGCAGAGGTAAGCTATTTGGCTCAACAAGTTTATATTGCATGCATTGATTTTAAAGTGGCTCACATATTTTAAAGAACTGAAATTAGTTGACTATAACTTTTTTGTATATGCTCTATCATTTTGTGTACATATATGTATGGGAGACACTATCAGCACATTCTCTGTTGTTACCTGTGGTGCATTTTTTTTCCTCTTCACTTTCAAGATGAACTTCAATTCCTAAAACTTCCCACTGAAAATAAATAATCAGTATTGCATTTTGTAGGTCAGGCAGTTGGGACAAATGGTTTAAATTTATTTTAGAGTTAGGATCATGCTGTTTCTTTTTTTCTAGCTCTGAAAAGTCCCTCTTAGGGGTCTGCCTGGTAACAGCAAAATGAGTAGACTCTACTACAGTCATCTGCTAGCTTTGAGTTCAACCTTTACTTGGGTTTGGAGAAAGTCAAATCAAGCAATGCTCCCCAGTGATGACTTTGTAAATACATTTCCTCTGGCCCTATTTTCTTGAATATATCCTAACTCTACCTTTCTGCTTTAAAGCAAAGTAAACTCGGTGGCCTCTTCTCCAGCCCTCAACATGATAGCAATCTCTGCGGTCAGCAGTGCGCTCCTGTTCTCCCTTCTCTGTGAAGCAAGTACCGTCATCTTACTCAATTCCACTGACTCATCCCCGCCAACCAATAATTTCACTGATATTGAAGCAGCTCTAAAAGCACAGCTAGATTCTGCGGATCTCCCCAAAGCCAGGCGGAAGCGCTACATTTCGCAGAATGACATGATCGCCATTCTTGATTATCATAATCAAGTTCGGGGAAAAGTGTTTCCACCGGCAGCCAACATGGAATATATGGTAAGAGGAAATCTTTCTCTTTGAGTTCTGAGTGAGAAAGCTTTAAATTGTATGTTAGAAGAACTTAAAGGGAATGCGGGTGTTTACATGTCAAGGGAAATGGGCTTTTTGCACATTTTAACTTAGGAAGGGTTCTTATTTGCTTAAAAATGTTAAATACTCTTCCATCATAGAATTTAAAAAGAATGATGTGAGTGTGTGTGTGATTCGACATAGAGTTTCTTCTCTGAATTCCATAGTCACTGTTGAGTTAAACCCTACATAAGGGACATAAAGAGTGGGGTTGGTAGACTGATGACATTTGAAAAGGGCACTTTTAAAAAATTTCACAGGGAACTTTTTCTGTGCTTTCTTTACCAAATAGTCATATTTATCAGCTAAAATGTTTCTTGAAAATATTTCTTAAAATTATAGGTTTTGTGTGCATGATTTATTCTTTGGGTAGATGTCTTTTCCCTTTCTTGGATAAAGCTCTTACTGATGCTAATCTATTTGTATTCTAAAAGAACATGCTGACTTTTTCCTCCCTATGATTTAGTGCTTTGTCATTCAGATAACAGTGAAGCCAGTGCACTTGCACACTGTTCCAACTTGCTGTGCACACATTCTTTGCTCTCTCTTAAAAATAGACTCTCTATGTTTAAAATCATTTTACTTAGGAAGTAAAAAAGCAATTTTAAACCTAAGTTGGCACTGAAAAGAATCTTGTTAAAGTTTATTTTTGGTTTTGAATTTATTCACGTTTATGATATAAAGCCCAAAACAGCATGGCACACGCTCTATTTACAGCAATGACAACCACCAATGTGGAATTCTCAAACAAGGGAGGGGGAGAGTGGTACCACTAACGATTTTTAAAGGGTGAACTGAAATTTGGGGTTCCTATTGGTTTTTATACAAATAAAGTTTTCAAGCTTGACTAACTCCAGATGCCAGTATCTCGGAAAAAATTATAATAATGTAAGAGAGTCATAGTTCATAGAAACACAACTCAGACTCTATGACAATGCATTTTCCTATGTTTTATTAAAGAAAGAAAAATAATCATAACTGATGTATGAAGATCAACATGGTCTTATGGTTAATATGGACTCTGGAATACAAACGTGAGGGTTCAACTCCTAGTGTTGGAATATAAACTGTGTGAACTCATTACCTTGCTTGTTTTATTTTTATCATCTCTAATAGGAAGATAAATATAGCACTTGCCATATAGGGTTGTTGTGAAGAATGACTGAATTGAGGAGCAATTAGGCATGAACCTACAACTAAAAATGTTCAATACACATATTTTCAAATTTAAATTTCTTGTGAAAGGTAACCAGTGAAAATCCATTCAGTATCTAAAAACAGAAATATTTACTCACATAGAGAATAGGTGTTTTAAGAAGTTGATCATAGATATGTAAAAAAGAAGAGGAATGAATACATTTTTAAATTGATATAAATTATGGGCCGGCGCCGCAGCTCACTAGGCTAATCCTCCGCCTGCGGCGCCGGCACACCGGGTTCTAGTCCCGGTCGGGGCGCCGGATTCTGTCCCGGTTGCCCCTCTTCCAGGCCAGCTCTCTGCTGTGGCCAGGGAGTGCAGTGAAGGATGGCCCAAGTACTTGGGCCCTGCACCCCATGGGAGTCCAGGATAAATACCTGGCTCCTGCCATCGGATCAGCGCGGTGCGCTGGTTGCAGCGTGCTGGCCGCGGCGGCCATTGGAGGGTGAACCAATGGCAAAGGAAGACCTTTCTCTCTGTCTCTCTCTCTCACTGTCCACTCTGCCTGTCAAAAAAATAAAATAAAAAAATAAATAAATTATGAAAGAAACATGTCTAATATTCTATATGAGCTCAAAAAGGCAAAATATCTAGGCTACAGATTTGGGACATACTTTCAGGCAGGGATCACATCACCATGCAGACTAAGGTTATGGCCAATACTCTTGAGTCAGCTTTGGAGGTGCACTCTTCTGGGTTCCAGTTCTACCTCTACTGCTTCCTTTGTATCCTTTCACAAGCTTCTTAAAGTATCTAAAACCCAATTGTCTTATCTGTAACACAGTGATGATGATATACATAATAATCAGTTAATAAACAATGCAGTTCACTATATTAATGATGGTGAGAGCAGATAGATTACCACGGAGTAAAGATATAGGTGAGTATAAAACAGTAGGAAAGGTTGAGAAAAGCTACATTTTTCTAATCATACATCCCCCACTTGTCAAAAATTAATTCATAATGCATTTGTCATCACTTCTCTGTGCCAAGGACTTAACTGTTTTCTTAGATGATCTCATTTGATAGCTCACATTCTCTGTGTGAGGTTGAGATTATGATCTTCATTTCACAAGTGAAATCACTTAGACCCAGAGAGGTTAATGAGTAGACCAAAGAGGTATGGATATTGGTATGCCTGAAATTAGAATTTAGGTCTGTCTTATTCAAAAACCCATGCTTGTTTTAGTGAACATATTTTCATTTATTTGAGCTAATAAGTGCATCACTGGGAGAAACCCCTGGAGATATCAATATATTTTTTCTTTCCTTTCTTAAAAATGTCAATTGAGATCTAATGGTATTCAGACTGTATTTGTCATTCCACCTTTGGTTTTTCTTCTCCAATATCAGAACCACTACCAATGATTTATTTTGTAAGAACCAGATAGAATAATCATTATATTATAGATGCCTTATAAAGCCTCCTCAATTCAGTGAAACCAATGAGAAACAGTAGCAAAAGCAGTAAGTTTTATGAGCAAACTAGACACTGGCTCAGATATCCATGTGGATAATATGCATATAATTCATTTTTACATGTATTTGTTCATTTAACATTTATTGGGCATTTACTATATGGTAGGCACTATTTTAAGCACTATGAAAACATCTTTGAATGAAAACACACCCTTGACTCTCCACCCACCCCAGGTGGGGAGTCAGACAATTAATCACATAATACGTTAGAAGGTGATGAGGTTATGAAGAAAACTAAAGTGGGTTGTGGTGTGGTTTTCATATTTAAGTTTGTCATTGAGAATGGCCTGAAGGGCGATGCAGAAATGAGCTACACTAATAGATGAGGGAAGAGCAAGGACTCTTTAAGTTAATCAACAAATGAAAATCATTCATCTGAATCCTTCATGAAGACCCAGAGAAACGTGATGGTACATACGACGTAATAGGTAGACTGGACTGTAAGTGACTATTTCCCTAGATTAGGTGAAAAATACAGATCTTGACTGAATGCTACTTACCTTTAACTTAACACTGGTTGGACCTGAGAACAACTGGAAAACTAGCTCAGTTCCTAACTGGTCCTACATAGCTCACAGACCTAGGACACACCCCACAAATAGTTGTTTTTTGAGTCACCAGCTATGCGTCCAAATTAACCTCATCAGTTAGTGATATCACCCAAGAGAGCCTCCTGAAAGACCAACTTTGGCTTAGGGCTTTTTCTAATGGCACTAGTCTCATTTGTAATCTTTTCCATCTATAACTCTCTAAATTTTCTCTGCCTCTAATGTTTTCTGCTTAACTTATTCCTTTATTTATAATCATATCCTTCATGTTTTTGATATCACAACGCTGGGTCATTTCTTGGTATTTCTTATACCACATGTAATCTTCCCTTCTTTTGCATAGCTGTAGCCCCTCCTGTCTACCATATCTTTTTATCACAATAGAATATGATATAGTTATTTGTGCATTTCTAGAAACCTGCCTAATTTTAAACTTTGAGGATACTAAGCCTATGTTTATTTATCTTTTAAAATATTATTTAGTTAGTTAAAAGGCAGAGACAGAGAGAGAGAGAAATCCTACATGTGGTTTCAGTCCTAAAATACGTGCAAAGGTTGAGACTACTGTACCAGGAACTGGGAACCCAATCTCAGTCTCCCACATAGGTGGCAGGAACCCAACTACCTGAGCTATCACCACTGCCTCCCAGGGTACACATTAGTGGGAAACTGGAATCAGAGGTAGAGGCGAGACTTGAACCCAAGCACTCTGTATGGGATGCAGGTATCCCAAGCAGTCCATGTCTTAACTGCTAGGCCAAACTCCTGTCCTCATCTTTGTATATCTCTATTTTCTTTAGCAATTTGTTGAGTATAGATGGTACATAATATTACTAATTCAGTTTGGTTGATGTCTCTGAATTATTATAAGTAGTATCAACTTTGATATTATAAATATTTTAATACATTTTATCATCACATATTTTATTCCACTAACCTAAAATAAAAGTTTTTAGCAAGTTCATATATAGCCCTTAAAATTCACTTTATCTTCCTTAAGTACTTCATTATGGTAGATAGTATAAACTTAATGGGATAAAGCAAAAGAAATTTGAACACCAGAGTGCTGACATTCATATTATGGTGCTTTAATGTTTTCTTTGGATATTGTCCATGATTTTCATAAAACAACTTGTTACTTGAAATATTTAGCTTTCTTCAACAGTGTGTTTACACAGAAATAATGTAGATAGGACTTGAAATATGCAAGTGGAACTTCTTTACTCTTGGCTTCTGTTCTATGATTAGTTTATTGACTAATTTTTCAGAGCTCCTTGGACACCAGCTGTTTTTCATTCTTTGTAGGGGCAGCTTAAACCAAGACTTGAAACCACAAACCACACTAGTTTCTTAGAATAAGAATTATACTTAAAAGAATGAAGTTGCAAGACTCACACACAGAATAAAATTTGTAAGATGTTCTCTGAATTCAAGGCAATTGAGCAAATTAATTTTAAACATTTTGAGGTCCTTCTATGAGAAGAAGAGATAACCAAAGATAGAAATCTTTGCCTTTAAAGTAGAAACAATATAGTAAAACAGAAACAAATGGGGGCAGGGAGACACCACTAAGCATATAATTCAGTATAAACACTGTTGCATAGGAATGACGCAATATGAGAAGTACAAATACTGCAGAGAAGTCAAGGAATGGAGTGATAATCTCTTCCTGGCAGATCATGAAAGGCTTGTGGAGGTTAGCT